ATTGTTTGGGTACTTCCCCCTCCGCCTATCTACGCGAATGAGACGCTATGGACCTTCGTGGATTTCAGTGCTAAACCGACTGTGTTCGTTTGCGGTTGATAGATACAGTGTTACATTTTTTGCGACTGATTTTATGTTGGCGGGTGTCTGTAAGACGTCAGATCTGTGTAAGAGGAATTTTGTTTACAAGATGAATATTTATAATTTATGATTATTTTGTTAGGTTTTTGGTATGGAAGACAAAAATTTACCTGGTCCTTCAAAACGAGTGAAGTATACGGACCCAAATTTCGAGGAAACTGTTTTAAAATTGTTTGAGGAGGTTGATTCCTGCAATTCTGCTGATGAGGACGATGACGTGGCTGACAGCGATTTCATTTTGAGCGAGCATGATAGTGAAAGTGTAATTGATATAAATTATAATGAGGGCATTGATATGACACGTGAATCGGATGTATCAAATTCATCTGGTGGGGAGAGGTCAAGTGAAAATAACACATCAAGATATTATTATGGCAAAAACCGCTTCAAGTGGTCTTCCAGTCCTGCTTTTGTAACAAATAGCAGAACCTTGAAACATAATATCATCTTGAAATGCCCAGGACTAAAAAATATAGCCGCGACAGCATCTAATCGAATGACTACGTGGAATATGTTGTTTCACGAGTGACATTTTAGAAATTATCTTGCAGTGGACAAACGCAAGTTTAGCACAGTTTCGTACCAAATTTAGGAAAGATACCAGCGATCTTCGGGATATGGATATTATAGAATTGCAAAGCTTCCTAGGAACTCTTCTGAAGACTTCTATTTTCAAATCCAATTATAAAGACATTAGATCTATATTTGCCACAGATGGTTCTGGTAGGGACATTTTTCGTTGCGTAACAAATTCAAATAGGTTTGCAATGATTCTTGCTTGTTTTCGGTTTGATGATAGGAAAACCCGTGCTGAACGAAAACAAACAGATCCACTAGCTGCGATTTCGGAAATTTTCCAAACCAACCCAAGCAATTATCTGCTTCGCAAAGCCGTTATATGGTACAAATAGAAATATAACGGCTGACAACTGGTTCTCCTCAATAGAAGCAGTCACTTTACTAAAAACAAAGGCATTGACCTACGTAGGGACACTGAAAAAAAACAAGAAGGAGATACCAGTCCAATTTCTTCCTCAAAAAAGTAGACAGGTCGGATCATCCATATATGGCTACACAAAAGATATGACGTTACTGTCTTATACTCAAAAAAAGAATAAAGCTGTGGTGCTGATTTCATCGATGCACCATAATGAGTCTACGGATCCTGAAACAGGAACACCAGAAATAATAGCCCACTATAATTTGACAAAAGGAGGAGTTGACGCACTTGATGAAAAATGTACCGTTTACTCATGTAGCAGGAGGACTCGTCGCTGGCCTATGGCCATATTTTATAGGATGGTTGATATTGCATCACTGAATGCCTATATCCTCCAAACATATTTTCGAGATAACACGGAGATTTCGCGATATAACTTCAAAAAACAATTGGCAATGCAGTTGATAACGCCGGAGCTGAAACGTCGTTTCGGCAACCCACGTATTTCTCGAGAAGTACGCATGAACATAGGGCGCATCCTCCAGACAAAAGAAGAAATTGAAGTTGGTGAAGAGGAGAAATTAGCCGTGAGAAAAACCTGCAGAATTTGTCCCTCTAACAAAAAAAGAAGAACGGCCTATTTTTGTATTATGTGCAAACGGCCAGTGTGTTTGGAATGTACAAGAAAAATTTGCAGAGATGGTGCTGTATAAAAAATAAGTAAATCTATGCCTTGCAATTTTTTTATGCTAAATTTGTTTATGTTACCTTTAGGATTTTCTGAATGAGTTATATTCATATTTTATAAATCAAATTAAATAAACACTGTTTTTTAGTATGTTAGGAATATTTTGAGGCAAAATATATTATGTGCCAAGATCCAAAATTGTTGCTTCAATAATCAGAAACTATTTTCCTGCAAATAAACGTTTTAGTATTTATCCATTTGAATACTTTTATTTTGTGCTCAGTCGACCTAGAATAATAACCAATTTCCGAATAAAGTGATTAAAAAATATACAATGCCAATTTTTGATAAAATAACATTACCGTCTGAGAGACGTCACGTCTGGTAGAGTGTGAGTGGAATGTCACCTCTGTGGTTACGGGTTAATAGTGGCGTGCGTACGGGTAATGACTTCGATATTATTTAAGAAAAAAATGGTACGCTAATGGTTTTTTGCCAAATAAAAATTATTTTTGAAGTTCACGTTCATCAATTTAAAACAAATAATCTCTCCTCAATTGTTTTCCTTTGATGCACCATTTTTGAGTAAGAAAATAGAAACCGTTCTTTTGTCTAACTTGCAAAATTAGTATTAATTTAATTGGAAAAATTAAACACATTAGGGGTAATGAACAACAACAACTGACAACATAAACATAACATTGAAACCAACGAAATGATTACAAAAATTGTTGAAAATGGCCCCCTTCACTTGCTATGCATGCTTCTGTTCTCCTTCTCATGGAATTGGGCACTCGTTGAAATATCCCTGGAGTGTTTTTTTTATTCGATCACAAGCTGCAACTATTATTTATCTTCATTCCTCTACAGTGTTAATGGGACTTGCGTACACTACTGTCTTAAGATAGCCCAAGAAAAATAAATCTAAACTGTTGAGGTCTGGGGACCTTGGTGGCCATTCTTGGGGCCCACCGCGGCCAATCCAACGATTTGCAAAAACAGTTTGTAAGTCTCTCCGTCAAGTCGTCTCGGCAAGAAGAATGGGCCAATAAAGTGGTTGCCAATAATTCCTGCCCATAAGTTAACCGAAAATTGGTGTTGTAAATGGGTTTCGGTTACGGCCCACAAATGATTATTGTGGAAATTCTGAATGGCATTTCAAGAAAAATTAGCTCCGTCCGTGGACAGAATCATTCATTCAATTTGCGGATTTTCAGTAACTTTTTGAAGATACCACTGGCAAAACGTCACGCGCCTTGGAAAATCAATGGGAAGTAATGCCTGCACTCTTAAAATATGGTAAGGTTATAACAAAAAATCCACTAAGATTCTCCAAACAATTCATGCAGCACTGCTTCCTCAATTTCAGGTGTTCTCACACTTAGAGATCTACCTTCAGATGTTCCTTTTCAGATAGATCCAGTTTCAACAAGACGACGAAAAATATTATAAAAGGTTAAATCCGTCTGGCTTGCTCACCATTAGCGTCGGCAAGGCCATATATGTAATGCACTTCCGCCATTTCTGCATTTGAATTACTCACCATTATTACTAAGATTGTAAAAACGAAATAATGAAAAAGATGTCACAGCGAACAGATTTGAATAACACAGACTTCTCAGATTTCAAAAGCCAGTGACGTATTCCAGGGCAACTAGATATTTATTGCTAAATTGCATTCTTCAATTATTACATTAATTTTCTCGGACATAGAACGGTTTTTATTTTTTTACTTAAAAGTTGTGCATGGAAAGAAACAATTAAAGAGGGATCATTTGTTTCAAATTGAACGGGCAATTCACAAATAATTTTTATTTGGCAAAGCCGTTGACGTACCATTTTTTTCTTGAAAAATATCGAAGTCAATACCCGTACGCACGCCACTGTTAAAGCTAAAGATTATTTTTGCATTGAAAATATGCAGCTTTATTAACTTTCACTACGTACTAAATATCAGTGGAATATCTGAAGCGATTCTGAAAATATTAATTATTTCCATTTTTTTCCTAAAACTTCAACACCCCGAGTTTTTGTAAGGAAACATTTTTGATCCATAGTTTATAAAGCAACCTAATATTAATTTTTCATGTAGATTCACACCCTTAAATATATGCATATCATTAAGGAACACCCTGTATAGTGGCAGTCGCTTACTAGTGATGATGGTGGACACTCTAAAAATGTCTGTGCTCTCGTCGAATGCAGACAAACTAGACTAGACTAGAAGCGCAACAAATCCTATCCAGACCAAATCAAACCTCCCTTTGATGTACCGATCAAGGAGCGAACGCCAACGCCAACCTTGGAAACTGTTGGCTTATGTTGGGTCACGCCGTACACACCGATTCGAACACCTCCAAATCTGCAACCACATAACTATGCCTTGGCTTGCGTTGGGATCTCGAATTGTACGCGGTTTTAGCGATTCACTAGAGAATTTTTGTGTTACATTACATTACAGCACTCGGCTTCAGTCAGTCGCCGCCTTAAGGATGTTAGAATTTCTCTTTCATCTAGAAAAGTACAAGCAAAAATGTGGCGGAACAAATTACAAAATTTTGCGCCTACAAAACGTCTTCGCCCTAAAAAGATTTTAATCTTCAAAAATATTTGAGTGCTTCATAAGAGGATTGCGCCCAAAGAATGATAAGGAGCTAGAAAAACAAAAAGTGTTCTCCAGTACTTGCTATGCTCGTGTCACATACTCCTATTTTCAGTTTTCCACTCGCTCCGCAACTGCAGTAGCGTGCGGAAAAGTATCGCTTACAGCAGTTGCTGAGAGAATAACTATTTCAGGAATTGCAGATCCAATATATACTGACTGTCAAAACAAAAGTTAAACACCTACGTATGTTTATTAGAATTCAAGAATTTTTTAGATATTGATTGAAAAATTCTCGGACTTACGATACTATTGCACTCACACTACAATTTATATTTATTGTTGGATTACGAATATAATCCTAAATAACTACCTATATTTTTAAAATTGAAATATACCTATTCATTCAGTTATAATACAAATAGTTATCTGATCCGGAGATCATTATATTAAGCAACACTGATTGAACAAGATCTTGGGCATGCCAGTGCAAAGAGCAATTTTAGTAATTCTATATCTTCGATCTTGGTAGTCAAGTCCACGGCACTTGTAGGAGTTATCACAATTTTTATCTCTGGTATATTAGGTATATTATTTAATTCACAAAGATTAGTCTACGTTGTGTAGTGGTGTAAGCATGTTACGACTGTTGATCTTAACGGGTCTTATCTTAAGCTCTTATGCTTCGAAGACACCGATCATAGGTGTATTAAGTCAGGAAACCAGCAGGTCGAGGAACGATATAGGGGAATTCCAACATAGCTACATTGCAGCATCGTATGTGAAGTTCTTAGAAAGTGCTGGAGCGCGAGTTATACCAGTCTGGTGAGATTTTCACATTAAAAACTAATGTTTTCATTTCTGGTCGTAGTACGCAATAGATACTGTCAAATTTTTATCGAAATCCAATTGATATTTTCTTAATTAGGTTAAGCTATTCGAACTTATTAATACTTGTTTCTAGCGTATTTTTGCAAATCTTGATGGCACAATTAATACTTTTTGCAGGATTGGCAAAGATGATGACTATTACAAAAATGTTGTGAACTATACAAATGGGTGAGTATACATTTGTTTATTTTTGAAGTAAATGCTAGCAGATCGCACTACCTTCAAAAATCAGGGGTGACGTTTCTAGAATGAAGAAGGAGTGCCCATAAGATCCCCCTAATACTATTTTGATAAAAAAAAATATTCATTTCTTCTATGCTGATAAAACAACGTCAATTAGAGGAAACTCCTCCTCCATGACAGAGTAAAGATCAGTCCGAGGTCAGTTTTAGGTATAATTTTGTAGTTTACGGAGTAAGTAATCATCTCTCTGGCACTGAGACGAGACGAGACTATGACTTGATTTCATTGACCCCAAAAACCACCGAAAAGACCTATAACCCCATGCGTAGTCCATGTACGCTGAGACGAAACACAACATGCCCAAAAGTGAGATTGTACAGGTCCATATTTTCCTCAATGGTCTTGGAATAATCTAATACAATAAATGATTATTCTTATAGAAAGAAGTGCACATACTTTTCACAATTCTTTTCGCTGGAAGTACTTGAATGATCATCCGAATGGTTGATATTAATAATTAAAGGTTCAATCTGAATATCGATCATATTGTCCGGATCCCACATCTATGTTTCGATTGTCTCTTAAACGTGACGGATGCAATCTTGAATTTGAATGTTCTGTTGTTTCTAGCCACATAGTTTTTTATATTTGCCCAAATCATTTCTATGGGATTTAATTCGCAGTGATAAGGGGGTGGCCTTAAAACGGTCGTATTTTGTTTTTTAGCCATTTCATCAATAACATTAACATTATATTTATATTTGTGCTGCCTGAATACATGGATAAGTTATGTTTCTACCATATTTTCACTGGAACTAATGTCTTTTGATAGGAACCATTGTTGAATTTTTGCCTTTCTTGTGAACATTTTTTCCAGTGTTCTAGTGAGGTTTGCAGCATTATCAAGTACAACGACGGCATTTCCGTCAAGCTTTGGAAGCGTTTCTTCAAGCAATGTTCAAATGAACCCCCGCCCATTTCTTCATGGTAGTCGGTCGTTTTTTCGTCTGGTATGCCCATAGGGCAGTAGGCACAAAGCCATCTTCACTGCCAATGTTACTGATAATAAATCGTTTTCCTTTTCCTGAAAATGATTATTTCATATAGTATTAAGGTAAACTAATAATAATACAAACAGAGTATCTAACAGGCGTTGGTTCCATATCTACCAGATATAGCTAAGTATAGTGCAGCTAAGTTTTAAGTGTGAGCTCACAGATTCAGTCTACTTGACACCATTTTTCAACACAAATGACGAATTGGTTAGATACACGTACCTGACGGATTCTCTAAGCCAATGGTTATTCCATCTAAGAAGGCTTGTTTAACTGATTTAATTGTAGAGTCAGCCCATACTCTAGGTTTTGTATGCCCTGCATTTATCCAGGTTTCATCCAAGTAATAAATCTTCCTGACCGGGTCGCGGTATTTCTTTATTGATTAAACTAAACTAAAACTCTCCTATAATACTTTATGTCTGTGGAGGGAAGTTCCTGCCTTTCAAAAAGTTGATAGACTCTGCGACTGATGTCATTCCGGCCAAAGTTATCAACTGTATTCAACAGCTTCGAGTAATTCAGCCTCTTGTGTTGTGGAAACATTTTTTATATATTCCTTAACAATATTGAAAATTGTCTTAGAACATAAGCCTGTTCTGTTCGCAACACGTCTTCCAATAACATGAATTTTCATTTCAGGATGCTCTAAAGTTTCGCTCTTATAAACGTTAAGGACAATTTATTTTGCCTGAATATTCAAATTCCCCTTCTTGTCAAGTTTTCGAGGAGGAGATATAACTGAAGAGGAAGCATTGCTGAAGGAAGCATTGGGAGAAACATTCTTAGTTTTATCTGCTGTATCCATAGACGACATGCTAACGTATGAACACACGCTATGTATGCACCGAATATGAACAGCAACTGCCGGCCTCGGCATGTCGGCCATACCCCGAGCCTGAGCTCTATCCTGCCGAATCCTTTTTTTATATCGAAGCGGCCGCGCACGCAGAAGCCTAAATGCCGGAACACCGCGACTACTATGATAATCCCAAAGAGATTTTGTTAATACGATTTTTGAACTGCCTAAGGTTAGTAGAACTGGGAAAAACTTCCTATTGTAGATTGCTCCACAATCTCAACACCCTCGGGACAAAGGAGCGGTCGTTTCGGCCAGTTCTGGATGTATGAAGTTTGACAAGGTTAGGATGGGGCACCAAAGTCAGGCGGGTCTGTCTGGCAGGCACATCGCGCGGCGGCATCATGGAAGAGAGCTCTGATGAGCAAAGCCCGTTGGTCTAGCGATAGAGAAGAGCTAGATCGCCGACGACCCGCCAGTGCGAAAGTGTCCCGAGAGTGTCTGCTAGAGAAGAGTCATTGATCAGCATCGAGCATGGATAATGCACCTGTTCGTAGTTTTATGGCTGAATGACCAATAGTTATTGCAATGCTTAGGCAGCTGACGCTCTGCCGCGCTGCCTTTTTGTTGTGCTAGGGCGTAAATGGAGTACGAATAGGATATAATAGATTTTTCGGCTGTTTCTCAATGTTGACCATGAAATGACCTTGAAGTGCGCTTCAAGTGACCTGATACGGCTAAACTGACTTCAGATTTTGACTCATGTGACTCCAAAACCGTATGTCAGTTAAATACCTGAATACCTAAATACCTGAACCCTTTCTTCGTAAACTAACTAACTGACCTGCGCTGTGGACCCGAACCTTCATGTACGTGCTATTCCTGCTCAAACCCTTTTTTATTAAAATAGTAATAGCTCAAAAATAAGCCTTATGAGCCCTCGTTTCTGTAATATAGTGGAGCGGCGTAAGACATAAAAATAACAGAACCTCGGAAACTGGTCCCACTGAATGAATTATCGAGAAACCTTTTCGATTGCATTATTACAATCTTAACTGAAATAGTTCCACCATAAAAATTGGACACTTTCTATCATCTTTGACGATAATTAATAACAAAAAACAGGCTAATTCAGCTAACGGCGGCAGTATTAAATAGGTCTAAAAATAATGCGAAAAGTTCATACAATCATAGAACCCAAAATGCACCCTACTAAGGTACAGGGTGTTGAGATTGTGGATTCGAAAGCGAAAAAAATATATTTTCGGGTTGTATTGAGATATTGAATTGAAGTTTTACATACCGGCGACTTCAGTGGCGTCACAGGGCTACCCACAGTGTTCGACAACGAAGTCAGATAGGGACATCCATGAAATGTGGAAGTAGGTACTGTTTGCTTTTGTTTGCGTTTTAATATCATGTCACTACGACACTAAAGACAAAAAAGCGTTATGTCAGAGAGCTATTAACAAATAATATAATAACTTGTCCACATAATCTCTTCCCTCTGTAAAAGGCCCAGGCCTCGATTACTACTCACATGCTTGGAGTTCTGCCGCCCCGACTACATTATCCATGCAAAATGCTGTTCAATAGAAGGCCATCTGATCGGCTACTCTTATCTGACAGAGTCTTGAGACACTTTCCCACCGACACGACGAGCCGTCGGTGGTATGGCTCTCTCCTATCACTGTGTCAACCAGATTTACAAAATTGCTTATAGCACCCGCTATATTTAGGCGGCTGCTCCGGTATAAAAAATGATGTCAAGTACGCTGTCTCTGCACTTCGCACACAACGCCGTTATCAGTTCATAGCACAAATTATACCCTCTGAGAAAATAATCAGTCGAACAGGTCTATACAATTTTCCATAGACTTTCTTTTTCTGCCCTGTCATACCAGAACAACACAACCCGCTAAGGCCGGCAGCAGGTCGCGTTGCTGGCAGCAGCAGCCGCGGCCAGTAGGTACGTGATTCGTTTGCTGAGAATAGTATTAGGGCCAATATACGGAGAAATCTATGATGTGTGAAATATGAAAATTGTGGTATCAGCCTCGTACATTTAGTGAACATCTTATTATTCCTGTATATTCCCGACATTTACTTTTCTTATGAGTTCTTGTTAATTTATATGATGTCAATGATATCTGTGTATACTTTCTTACATTGAGGAGTAAACGTACTTTCCCACCATAACAAATTCCTTCAAGATACCGATGTATTATAATGAATAATTTTTGAAGCTGTTCGTCGCCTATTTTATTTAATTGGCGCTGCGAACAGGAAAGCCTTCCGCTTGAAAATCGGTTCGCTATTTTCGAGTGTAGGAGAGTCGGGTAGGTACCAAGTACTACTCAATCGACAATCTGAAGATCCAGAAGCTGTAACCCGAGGCAATCCAGTTATCGTTTGAGGTATTTGGGTGAACCAAGGATCATCTGTATGAGAAGTTCTACAATTTCAACGAGGAAGAAGACTTCAATCATCCCGAAGAAGTTTTTCGAAGAACCTGACGAGCTTTGAAGTACCTAGCCACGAAAAAGCTCGAAAGTACAACGCTAGAGGATCCGGTGAAGACTCCATCTGCGAGAATTCATCCGGCCCCTGCCGAGTACAAGAACAAGACGACGTCCGATGCAAGTATATAGCCACTCCAGCAGATTTCATGTTCAGTCCTCTGTATTGACCAACACCGGTATCCCAGAAGGACCCAAGCAGGAATTAGTGCTACTAGCGAAAGTCAATTTTAAGTAACACATTTTTAGTCTGTATTCTTGATACTGATTTTAATGCCTTTACAAAATTGTTTTACTATAAGGACGGGGCCACAAGTGAATTCCCCAATTTCAAACTCAAATTCAGTTACAGGAATCTGAGACAAATCCTCCGTTCCATCCGGATTTTGCAACAAATCAAAAAAGGAACGATATGCTTGTAAAATCCTTTATCTTAAAATTTGGAGTAGAGTGTCTATTAATTAATTGGCACAACAAGTACGACTATCTCTCAGGCTATCAAGACATAAAACATTTTCAAAATAGCTAATTTAGATTTTATTTGTCATACCGGTAAAAATCCAGATCGAAGACCTAACGAAGACCAAGAACGTTTGTCGCTTTATGCAAAGT